TTCGACAGTTCCTGCAACCTACATGCTATTTCATAAAGTGGTGGAACTCAATATGGAACCTCACATGGAAAATCCCTTCAACAAATATTTCTTATTGGAAGAAGGAATTGTTTCTTCATTATTGTATCATACCAACATACTCTGTTTTTCTAAAACAGAAATCAAGCAATTCCCCAGCAGTGTTCTATATTGGACATTGAGTAAAATCAGTTGTAAACTCAGTAGTAAATGGCAATTTGAAAATACTAACCCATGTTAGATGTTAACCAGCATACAAGGATTTATTAATGAGCCATGAAAACAACTTAATTCCATTGTTCTTCTCTTTAGCCAACAGATCATTTATCTATAGTGTCAGAGTTTTAATTTCATCTGCAAAGCTTCCAGATCCAACAACAAACAAATAAAAAAACAGATATACAGTACACACTATCACAAAAAGTAATAAAAAAGTTTCATCCATCCTGTTCTCTAGAGGTGATGTTTTTTTCTCCACCAATTTGATACACTGCTTACCTTGTTACCATTCAACTTATTGGCCTAGTTATTCTCTGTCTGCAGATATTTTATGACTGATTACTTTCATTTTGTTCTCATATTGTTTCTGACTCTGTCTAATTTTTTTTCCCCATGCTACATTCCATAAAACATTCACGATTATTTCCACAATATTTTTTATTTAGCCTGAAACCCAAAGAGAAACATTTCTGTAGGGAGAGAAGAATGGATAAAAAGGAATAAAAAGCCATATAGGCTTCTATCATATGATTCTGTAGCACAATGTAATATGGAGTCCCAAAGTGGAAGGACTGCTTCCCAGAGGGCAAAGAGGCAATGGAGCTTGGAAACTCTAGTAGGCAAGAAAGGGCTAAGATGCCCCCTGAATATCATTATGCATACACAGTAGTTGCTTTAGTCTGGCAAGATTCTGTCTGTAGGTGACAACAATACAGGAAATACTCAGAAGCAACTCCATGGGTTTTTCTTGGTACTTGGAGACTGACAGGTTCATACTTTTACTGCAGATAATCTTACTGTTTTCCCTACTACTGTGCATAAGTTCATTTCATGTTTGATATGTACAGTGTATTGTATGAGCTGAGGTTATTCAATCTTACACAGAAAAGTATAAGATACAACAGTATTTCTCAAATTATTTTACATGAAAAGCACAGATATGTGAGGAATGTCAAAACTGTTTTCAGTATTCTGGGAAGAATCTTGACTGGACCAGTCTCCAGGTTACATATATGTTTGGTGTTTGAAGGTCCAAGCATCTGGCCACACAGCATACGTTAGCTATGAAAAATATTAATATATCAACAACTGCTTACTTGTTTTCTTAAAGATAAAAATATGCCATGAAAATGAAAAATGTTTGTTTACAAGCACCAGTGTCATTGAGGGACACTTCTTAGGTACACCTTGAGGCACACCTGCACTCATGACTGGCTAAAACATTCTGTCAAAAGTATAGCCCATGCAAAGTCAGCCTTACATCTATTGCTGTGAAATAGAATTGCATCACAAAGACATTATGATACCCTTAAAACTGAGCTTGACTGGTAAATTAAGGAACATATCCATATGGTATTCTTGGTGACACCATCAAAGTAGCATGATATTCCTTTCTGATATCCCTTTATTTTTTTTGAGTATTCTTCCAAGCAGCAATTAAATGGCTTCACTTTTCAATGTCTGAAGGGCCTGAAAGGCATTGTTCAATCAATCCTGCCATTAATTATATCCCAGCAAGAAACAATTTCCCTGGCCTTTTTGCAATACATATTTCTATAATGAACAGGAAATGATCTTTAATATTGTGGGGTGCCCATTTCATCATTTGATGAGAATCATTACACTGATTTGGATTCCAGTAGGACACACAAAAGAAAAGATAGGGAGGAAACATATCCCCTTTTAACATTCTGAAGATGAATGCATTTCAAAAGCAAGTGTGTGTGTGTGTGTTGCCCTAATTGGAGGAAATATTTGAATTATCCTAATGGCCAGATGCAACTGGCAGCCATCAAAATTACCATTCATTCCTTCTAAAATGCCATTGAGAACAATGTGTACTTTATAATGACATAGTATTACTGAAGCATGAATGGAATAAAAGAGTCAGAAGAAATGCTGTCTGCTTCTAAACCCCTTCTCCAAATTTTGTCTAAAATATATCTTTTGCATGCAACTTGCATGCATTTTAATGCCACATTTGTATGTATGTATGTATGTATGTGTGTGTATGTATGTATATATATATGTTGGTCTAGGTGTGTTTGGGTCTTTTCCCGTGTAAGATTAAGAGTATCTTGGCGACGTTTTGGCGAGGTCCCACTCACCATCCTCAGGCTGGTGCTATTGGCTTTGTGCCAATGCAAGCAGTGTGTGATCGGAGCTGCCGTCTTTCTGCAAATACTGGGGGGGGGGGGGCTGGTGTGCTGGGCTGGTTGGCTGCGCTGCTGCCTCTTGATTGGTTGATGGAGTTGATGGAGTTGATGGGCTGTGAGTTTTGTTGTGGAGATATCCTGGATCTTGTGCTTTAATCTCCTGGGTTGTTTGTGTTTTGATCTCTTTTCCATTAGCCTCCTGTGTTGTAACGGCTTGGGTAATGGGTTGTGTGGTGACCTTGTGAGTTTTATTGCTGTGGTATCCTTGGTCTTGTGCTGTGATTTCCTGGGTCATTTGCTGTGTTGCAACTTCTTGAGTTTTTGTGGTGTAATTTCCTGAGTTTTCTGATGTGATATCCTGAGCAGGTGGCTGTGATGTAGCATTCTGGGTTTTGGTCTGGCTTCGAGTTTGTGGTCTGGGTCTGTGTTCTTGGCGTGTGTCAGCTTGTTAATATACAACACTGAACACACCAGCAAGAGAATAATCAGGGAAGCCATCGAAATAGAGAAACACCCCCATAGCATGAATAAATGGGATGATACCTCCTGCCTACCAGACATCTGGAAACTAGCCCTCACCAACAAACGAGTCCCAGCCACGAAAACCAACACCAGACCCAAAACAACACGGAACACCACCGCCAATCCCCCTCATCAGACCCAGGCCCAAACCCATTCTATAAATGAAGGACAACCACCATCCAGAAACCAGAGCATGGCTGCTCTGCCAGCTGTCGCACCCCCCAACCCCAAAACCAAACAAGCTGACACACAGACAAACACAATACAGAAGCCTGATGATGGCAGATGAGATTCTGCCGAAACGTTGCTACAATTTTAAAAGCACAACTATAATGACATGGGAAAATACCCAAACAAAGCTGAATATCATACATATAAATACCCGCAAAAACTTAAGAAAACAAATATATATATATATATATATATATATATATATATATATATATATATA